TTCCCATGTTTTAAATTTTCATTTTATTTAGTAACTTTATTTTCTATAAACATTTTTCCAACAATTTCTCTATTTTCTTTTTGTTTTTACTGTTCAACAACAGCAAAAAACTAATAAAAGTAAAAGCATTAATAACAACAACAATACTCATGAGAAGTCAAGCATCATTTCAACAGACACGTCAACCATACATACAACACTGTAAATCAATTATCCCATTTTCACCATCGTTTGAAGTCTTATGCAAAAAAAAACAAAGCTAAACAAAAAAAACCTTATCTTTAAAAGCTCAGAAAGGGTCAGATTAACAGAAATGTTTCCACTTTTTTGTAAAAATCAAGGGATTTATTTCGGACCAGGTAACTCCAGTGGGATGTGTTCCAATATCATCCCGTGCCATCTGAGTTTTACGAGAATAGTGCATTTTTCTTTGTGCAAAAATCAGAAGATTAAACCGCTTTCTGAGATTATTTTTTTGCATGCATGTATTTGGGAGACCAATGAGAAGTGACACCAAGTAAAGATCAATTGCGGTTCCTAAGATGTTCCTAATTTAAAAAGAACAGACTGATAAAAGGTGGTGTGTATGACTGACAGCATTTATTTTTTCTCCTGCAATTTATGTAAAGCATGTAACAAGGTTAAGTTTACTTAACATATAGCTTTTTAGTGTGTATCTAATCTAAAATAATAAGGTCAGTACTGTCATACAGGCCAGTAAATGAATCAATTCATACAAAAGCAAATAAATATAGAAGCATATTATTATTATTATTATTATTTTAAATACTTGTAATGAAACTTATATACTTTGTTAGTTTTAGGCCTCCATACCTTGAAACTATCACTGTAGGTTAAATTAACAACCTAATGAGGTGAACTGAGTGACAGGATAATTGGCACCAAAGGGGACATAATAGAATAGAATAGAATAGAATAGAATAGAAGCTGAATCCTTTTGTGCCTCACTGAGTAAGACCGCACTGATCTGACAGGAATAACCTGCATTATTAAAAAGCAGTTGTTGAAAATTTCAGTAACATTTAGCTTTTTGATATTTGGTGTAATAAATGTGTGAGTGCTGGGAGGTCATATCGTACATTATGTTGGCGAGGTTAAGGGTCCTCTCGGGTTCTTCTGGGTAAATTGGGTGTGGCGGCTCCCTAGACGACACGCATCCCAGAGTCCTGCTCAGGGCTCGACCGATCTTTGTCGCCGGTGACTTCTACACACAAAAACAAACACACAAGCATCAGTTTATGAACCCACACTGCATGAATACAGTAGATGTGTGAAGCCCGTTTTAAAGAATCAACTTTAGCACTTATCGAAAACAGAGATACCTGCTAATTACTGCTAACTAAACTGCAGCACAGACGTAGTGAACAGACTGCTGCCCTTTAGCTAATCACTCACTTGTATATATGTACTCCCAGTTTCCCTTTGTTCACTGCCAGATCACTTTCTATTCTTTCCATTTAAGGCTTCTAGTGATTTCCATTGTTGTTGATCCTTCTCATGTTTCTTGTTATTATCTGTTGTGTTCACTTGTTATCTTCTCATGTATTGCCCTTGTACTGGTTTTGAGTTTCTGTAGTCTCCCAGGATTTGTGTATTTCCTGTCTATGATCTCTGCCTTTCTGGGTTAAAGATCTGGATTTACGGGCATTTATTCTGACTCTCCGTGTCCTGCTTTTGGGTCCTTCTCTGTCAGCCCTTACGCCACTTTGGTGCAATTTCTAGACTACCACAGTGCAGCTGTGCAACTTATTTGACAGATAATTTAATGAATCTCAAGGACTTTACTGTACATGTGCTTATGTGCATATTTAACCCTTCAAAGGCCATTTTTTAACCTGAAAATGCACTGACACTTAACTCCTGAGCACAAATCTTAAAATCAGGCATCTGTTTTCCCATGAACCACATTCAGGTTGCTGCTGTTGGGTGTCTTTGTTAAAAATAAAGAAAGAAAAGGACATATACTGAGAATAAAAATGAAGCACAAAGCCCAGACCTACAGAAAATCACATGTAAATATATGTAAAGCCTGAGCTACAATGAGTATATAATGTTACATGATGACAGGCAGGAGCTGCACTAGTTAGAGGCTTTAGACCTAAAACTGAAACATTAACAAGAAAAATTATGCCAAAGACTTACTGATGAATAATTCAACAACTATATCTCCTTCTATTAATACATAATTTCTTCATTAAAACATTTATTCCTTCAGGCTACAGCAACTTTTATTTAAATTATCCGATTCACTTCAAATAAATACATCATGCCTGAGAATGAAGCTATAAATATTTGGGTATGTATACACTTGCATTTAGCTACTGACCCTTTGCCCACAATTATCAAGGTGTGTTTACAATGTGTGCTTTTATTTTTGAAACCAATTACATTTCCCAGGAGGCTATGTGACTGGTTCAGGTTGTTTTATACCAGAATGAGGGTAGAGCGAGTACGGCTAGAACAGGGGAACAGTTTTAACACCTCAAATAACTTAAAAAAAAACAAAACAATTTTTCTTTGCACGTGTGTACAAGCATCATCTTTGATTTTGAGAAATTCATAGCAGGTGAAGTGTGCACCTGAATGTTTCTTTCAAATTGAATAGATCCTTGTGTTTGTATCACTGAACTTAGAGCCTGGCAACTCCATATTCAAATTCCTTTTCCCACTAACCCTCTAACTACGTCTCCAAACTGCTCAACCTGAGCTGTCCCTCCGCTGTACTCATTTTCAATCGCGGTCACTCCAAATGAAAACCTGAACATCTTCAGCTCTGCTTCTTTATCAGTGCCACCATCTCCAAACCCTACATCGGATCAAGTCTCACTACCACCTTGTAAACCTTTCCTTTTCTTTTTGCTGCTATTCTTCTGTCACAAATCAGCTCTGACACTCATGTTTTTACCCTGCCTGGACTTTTTCCTTCACCTCTCTTATGCACTGTCCATGTCTTTAGATGTTTGACCCCAGGTATTTAAACTCATCAACCTTCACTATTTCTACTAATTGCACATTCACCTTTGCACCTGTCTCGCTCTCATTCACACATATTTCATTCCTCTTCTCTCCAAAGCATACCTCCACCTCTCCACCTGCTTCCTACTCTCACTACAGGTCGAAATGTTGTCTGCAAACATCACAGCCTGCAAACAACAAAGGGCTCAGAGTCGATAGCCAATGTAGTCCACTCCCACCCTGAACCCATCTGTCCCTCCGGTCTCACCACGGTCTCGCTGTCCTCATCCATGTCCTGCATCACCCTCATACCTCTCTGGCACTCCCGACTTCCTCACGTAGTACCATTTATTAAAAATTTACATATTTAATAAATAATTGACAGGACACTGAGTGGTCTCGATTGCGATATGTCAATTATGATACACAATGGATTCAAGCTCCAAAGAATACCAATGCTCTAATGGACACCACAATTACATTTGTGCCCACTGTGAATTTTAATGTTTTAAAATGCTATTGTTATGTAGTTGTAGCTTCCAGTGTTATTATGTTGTTGTGGCAGGGGTGTGGTCTCTGGCTCTGCTGCAGTGGAGGGGTGGTACGGTAATCTCATAGGGTGGTGCCGGGAGGTTAGAGGGGACAGGTGAGAGGGATTGCAACTAATGAGCTCTCCCCCTTATTAGTGTCTGGAACCGGGAAGGAGTGGTGTGTGTAGTGTGGGAAGGCACTGGAAAGCTGGCTTCCCAGTTGAACACAAGGTGTCGAAGTAGTGAAAAACACTGTTTTTCAAAATAAAGGTGCTACGACTGACACTCAAACACTGTGTGGGTCCTGATCATTTCAGTTGTTTTAAATATTTCTCAAGAGGGAAAAAAATATAAATATAATGAAATACAATAATTTTGTATTTGTAGTCATTTGCAACTATTTTACAAATGATCTGTTTTTTGTTTTTTTTTAACAGTTGCTCAATAAATGAAATTATTCACTGAAATTAAATATTTTTGCTAAATGTTTTTCAGCCAACTGTGGAAAACATTAAGTACTTATAGCCATTACTTATTATTACTTTTACAGTGCGCAAGGAAAGGAAACATCACATGAATTACAACTTGTTTTCATTCATTAGCTTTTGTGCAGTAATGGAAAGAGGTAAAAAAAAAAAAAAGTGTGCCCGTTGTACTACAAATGAGTCCAGATGCGCCTCCGCACAGCGAGAGCCCCCTGCTGTGATGGATGAGTAACCGCTCCGTGACTCACCCAGGAAGAGTGCTCCTTCATCTGATGCTTGTTGCTGTGCGAGCCGCTGGTGTTGCCACGCCAGAAGCAGTTCTGGCAGAGCTGGTAACCGCGGCAACGGAGGCAGCGATAGCGGAAGCCCGTCATGCCGTTGCTCCGACAGTAAGAGCACGAGACGGGATGATAGACTGAGAGAGGGGAACAAAAAAAGCATGAGATTGAGAAAGAGAGAGCACACTGTACAGTGGTTTTTATTTTCATAATAATCAGTTATTACCACAATAAAATCCATTTTACATCCAAGACCTGACTTTACAAAGAGTGCACAATATCTAAAGGCACGATAAAAACATAAGGGATGACAAAGGGTTCTTTGCACAGTGGAGTGGAACACAGTGTTTTTCTGTTCCCATGCACTGATGTGAATCACCAGCCAAATCTGTGGCTAATTAACTTTCTGGATACAGAACATTGATTGGCACTAACAAAATTACCCTTTTTTTAAACAAAAATACTGTTTCCACTTGAGGCAAGTAGCAGCACTTTTTAGCACAATTCTATTTTTAATTTGTACAAACATCTGAGGAGAGATGAGGGTGAAACAGGGGACACATTTAGCATAATTCTATATTTTTGGCTATTTCCCCTCCAGTATTTAGCTATCTTAGTTTGTTCACACGGTCAGGCAAAAGGTGAAACGCGATGTAAACACAATGACTCAAAAGGTTTGAATGAATTCTGATAAAACTGAGTCTAGAGTTGAGTGGAGTCGTGTTAGGAATCCATTAGATTTCGTCTTACAACCACCAAACAAAAAAACCCTTATAGCTTAGAAACTATGGTTCTTACAAATGTAGCGTTTATGGTCAACATATAGAAAGTAGCATATAAAGATTTGACCTCTTGTTCAAAGTCAATCGATTGATTTAAAGGTTAAAATGATAATAATGCTATACAGAGCTATTTAAACCTTTTTGACAACATATATTGTACTTTAAGAGGCTTGTAGTGCAGTAAAAGTACAGTACATATAGGGAATGATATATGGAGATTCTAAATATTAGGTTACTTTGGACCTCTAACCTCAAATAAGGTCAAATTCCATAAAATGTATTTTTTAAATTATGCTTAAAAGTTACCTACCTTTATTTATATTGGCACCATGTGTGAGATGATATACTGGTTTAAGGGGGACTCAAAATACCCCATTATCATTTGCATCTAAATATTATGTCACATATGACCTCTGACCTCACTTTTGCATTTCTGTAAAAGTCTTTCTTTCAAAATGATCTCAAAATATTGTGTAATCATTATGTTTTTAAAGGAAGTATTATAAAGGGAAAGAGAATAATGTGCCTAGTTAGTTAAAAATATGCAGCAGAATAATATTGTATAATAAGCTCAAGTTCTTCATTTCCAGTTACTTACAAATCAGTGCCTATTATCTATTACCTATTCCGACATATTATATATATAATAAAAATAAACGTGTCATTCCACCATTATCTGACTTTTACTGCACAACAAACCTCTTAAAGTATGTTTAAAAACAGAAAATAAAATAAACATATGTAAAATGTAATACTGTTCTGTTAAATGTAAATACTGCCTTGGTGGAGGGTTGCAAGTAAATTTCTGCTAATAAACCAGGTCTGCTGTTAGAAAGTTTGCATTATATCGACAGTGTCTGTACCATGCTCCACATTGGCCAGGCGGTGCATCAGAGGCAGCCAAATGAGACACTGAGGAGGGTCGGCCACGATGTCCAGGAACATGTTGAGCATCACTCTCTTCTACAAAATAAGAGCAAGACTGTTTATGAACACAGAACCAACACAGAGGCTGTTTCATCCTTCAACCAGTTAAAATGAGTATG